GAAACAAGCTCGATGAAAATGGAACAGTTACAAGAAACAAGGCAAGACTGGTGCTCCAAGGTTACAGCCAAGAGGAGGGCATAGGCTATGATGAGACCTTTTCTCCAGTTGCAAGACTAGAGGCAATCAGACTCCTCATAGCCTTTACAGCACACATGGAATTCACTCTTCATCAATGGATGTCAAAAGTGCCTTCCTGAATGGCTACCTAAAAGAAGAAGTGTTTGTGAAACAACCTCCAGGGTTTGAGAGCAAGTAATGTCCTGAGCATGTGTACAAGTTAGACAAGGCTCTCTATGGACTCAAGCAGGCCGCAAGAGCATGGTATGAACGATTGTCCAAATTCCTTCCGGAACATGGTTGCAAAAGAGGTAAAATTGATAGTACCTTATTCTTAAGGTAAAAAGGTAAGGATCTCCTTGTTGTAAAATATATGTTGATGACATAATATTTGGGTCCACTACTGATAAGTTAAGTAAGGACTTTGCAAATTAATGGGGAGTGAGTTTGAAATGAGCATGATGGATGAGCTTAACTTCTTCTTAGGCTCACAAATCAAACAAAGTCCAAATGGAACCATGATCCATCAACAAAAGTATGCAAAGGAGCTAATCAAAAAGTTTAAAATTGAAGAATCTAAAGAAATAAACACACCTATTGCAACTGCCACTAAATTAGATGTTGATGAACCTAGTTCAGCAGTTGATCAAAAGTTGTATAGGGGTATGATTGGTTCACTCTTATATCTTACTGCTAGCAGACCTGACATTATTTTCAGTGTAGGGCTTTGTGCTTGCTTTCAGGCAAATCCTAAAGAGTCTCACCTGACTGCTGTCAAAAGGATATTAAGATACTTGAAAGGCACCACTGATCTGTGTCTTTGGTATCCCAAAGGTAGAAATTTCAATCTAGTAGGATATGTTGATGATGATTATGCATGTTTTCTAGTGAATAGGAAGAGCACCTCATGTATGGCACACTTCCTTGGTTCATGTCTAATGTCATGGGCTACTAAAAAGCAAAATTATGTGGCCTTGTCAACTGCTGAAGCTGAATATGTTGTTGATGCTTCTTGTTGTGCTCAATTGCCATGGATTAAATAGCTGCTGGTAGATTTTGGTATAGAAGTAGGTTGCATTCCTATATTTTGTGATAACACTAGTGCTATAAGTATGACAAAGAATCCTGTTCATCATAAAAGGACTAAGCACATAGATGTTAGGCACCATTTCTTAAGAGACAACTATGAGAAAGGTCTGATCTCCATAGAATTCTGTACTACTGATAAGCAAATTGCTGACATATTCACTAAAGTACTGAGTAGAGAAAACTTTGAGAGGAACATGTTGGAATTAGGGATGATTAAGATCATGTAATAGGTCCAGCTCAGAATACAAAAAAAAAATTGGCTAGGAATTCTAGATTTGTGTAAATATCTAGATTGATTCTTATTCAGTCTCATACTTTAATTAGTATACTCCTATGACATGTGTATATATGACTCACTGATCTCTTACAAAGTTTTTTCTATTATGGCATTTGAGGCATGTTCAAGAGAATTCTAAATGAAGAACCTGGTTTATCAATATGAGTTCATATGAAAGTTCAGGTATGTTTTCAATACTTTGCACAATTAGAAAGATTAACAATTCAATCATGAGCAGAAGTCCTATACTTGCCAAATTCCTAGAAAATTCTATCCGTTGAAGCATTGAACCTGTTTCGTCCATTTAGAACTCTAAAACCGTGATTTTTGCCTAATATCTAGGGAAGCCAAATAATCATTAAAAGTCTGAAATTATAGTTTGATTAGACTTCTATTTGACCCCTGAAAAGCTGTCGTTACTGATTAATGTCTAATTCTCTTTAAATACACACCACATCTCTAATCTTCTTCATTATTCTATAATCGTCAAAAATTCTCTTCTTCAACTCTAATTGCTCTCTTGTGACGACCCGTTGTCTCGTGAGTTACCGCTCCATTTTCCCCATTTTCTATTTCTTTATGCTTCATTATCAGTGTTGGGTGTGAACGAGTTGATTTGGATTGGTTTTAGTAGGAAATGAGACACTTAGTCTCTTTAAGGAAGGTTTGTTTTGGAAAAGTCAATCGTACATTGACTTATGTGTTAGAGGGCTCGGATTTGAATCTCGATGATTCGGTTAGCTTCGGGGAATGATTTGTGACTTAGGAGTGTGATCGGAAGTAATTTTGGAGGTCCGGTGTAGAATTAGGCTTGAATTGGCGAAGTTAGTATTTTGGCGAATTTCGGTTGATAGGTGAGATTTTGATCCGAGAGTTGTTGTAGCTTCGTTAGGTGATTTGGAATATGTGTGCAAAATTTTAGGTCATTCGGACGTGGGTTGGTCGGGTTTTTGATCGAAAGTGCATTTCAGAAGTTTTTAGAAAATTAGGCTTGAATTCGATGAGTTTTGGGTAATTTGATGTTGTTTGAGGTGTTTTGATGATTGGAAGAGGTTTGAATAATGTTATAAATTATGTTGGCATGTTTGGTCGGGGTCCCATGAGGCTCGGATAAGTTTTGGAAGAGTTTTTGGAAGATTTTTGTCGTTTGAGCATAAGCATGTAATGATCCAAAGGTCCATTTTTAGTTCTAGAGATCGAAATTATATTTCGAGATTTCTATATTTAAATAATGAATTATAAGAGTGATCTGAAAAGTTTGGTTTAATTTTATCAAGTCGCGATTGGGTTTTTGACACGAAACATGAGTTAATTGTTTAACAAGCGAAATGGATATCGCACTGAGCAAACGAGCTCCGAATTGAGTTTCGATTGAAGAACTATGTTCGTATCATTATTTGTGACTCATAAAAACAAGAATCATCGAATTCCAAGTTCGTATGCTGGAGTTAGAGCCATTTTAGTAAAACGAAAAGTGCTGCAATTTCTTTGGCTGCTGCTGTATTTTTTTAGCAGCGTAAACAGTAACCGCGCGTGAACAGTAACCACGCGTGAACAGTAACCGCACGGGTGAACAGTGACCACACGCGTGAACAGTAACAACGCGGGTGAACAGTACTTCCGAAAAATTTGAGTTTACAAAACAAATCATCCGCGATTTTGGGTCATTTTTCCTCCATGGTTAATCATTTTGAGAGCTTCTTGGTGGAGATTAAAGAGGGATTCAAGGGGGAACGACTTGAGGTAAGTTTCTTGGACTTAGAACTCGTTTTTATTGTGAATTCCACCTAGAGATTCATGAAATATAAGCCTACAAATCAAGAACTAGGGCTTGAATTTTGAAACCAAACAATTAGGATTTGATGGGTCATTTGAACTCGGATTTGGGAGTTCTTGGTATGTANTTGATGGGTCATTTGAACTTAGTTTGGGAGTTCTTGGTATGTATAGACTCGTGGAGAGACAAGAAATCCGGTGATGTTAATTTTCTGATTTTTCGAGTCATGGGCCCGGGGCTCGAGTTTTGTCAAATTCGTGAATTTTGATATTTTTCGATTGCTTTCGATTTGGTATTGTCTCTTTAGCATAATGCAACATATTCGTTGTGATTTTGGGCAGATTCGTCGCACGAGGAGGGTAATTTGAGAGGCAAGGGCATAGAGAGCTAGACTTTGACCGTCTTGAGGTGAGTAATTGATGTAAATGATGTCCTGAGGGTTTGAAACCCCGGAATTTCACATCGTAACGCTATATTGAGGTGACTTGCACGCCGGATAACGGGCGTGGGGTAGAGCACAGTTGGGGATTGTGACTTGGTCCATCCCGAGAGATGTTTTTACCATATTTTCTACTTGAACTAAATTGAGAATCATCCTTACTTGGATTTAATTGTTACATTTGGGCTTCTTGCCAATTATTTGAATCCTTCAGGGATTGATATCACTGCTTTCGCATATTTTGCATATCATTTGACCTCAGTCCAAGGTTTTAAATATTGTTTTGCAAACTCACCCATCTTTCTAAGATTTGAAAACTTAAATGATATTTCGGGCTGAGAACAACTATTTTACAAATGCCCAAGGGGCTTATGATGATTTCTGGACTGAGCATGGATCGGGCTGCACGCCGCAGCAGTGTTATATTGATATTGAGGCCGAGAGCCTGGTTGATTACATTGATATTGAGGCCGAGAGCCTGGTTGATTACATTGATATTGAGGCCGAGAGCCTGGGTGATTATACTGAGATTGATATGAGGCCGAGGGCCTAGATTTGATGCCACGAGATGGCTTGATATTGCGCTTGGGCTGTAGGAGCCCCTCCGGAGTCTGCACACACCCCCAGTGAGCGCCGTCGACGATAAATAAATGGATGGCTCGGGCTGCACGCCGCAGTGGGTACTAGAGTGTACCATCATATGCATTGCATTGCACTCATGCATTTGTTTTTATCTGTTATACCTGTCTCAATATTTGGTACTCTGACTTAATTGACTTGTTGCTTCACTATTTGTTGTTCTAAACTGCCAGTTATAGTTTACTTTGTATTTTTCCATGATTTCTTATTCTCAACCTTTATTTATGTTTATTACTCACTGGGTCCGAGTACTCACATTACTCCCTGCACCTTGCGTGCAGATCCAGGTACACCATAGGCTAAGTGAGGAATTGTTTAGCTGAGCAGGCAGTATCCGGGAGTATTGAGGTAGTTGTATGGCGTTCGCAACCTTGATCTCTCCCCTCTATCTCTATAGTTTATTCCGTATTTTTCCTAGACAGATTTGTAATAGGTGGATATTCTGTATTAGAGGCTCATATTCGTTACACCGGATTCTGTTGGGCTATGGTGTGGTATTTTAATTGAACTTCCGCAAATTTTATTATTAATTATACAATTGAATTAAATGACTTAGTAAATTCTCTGTGATATTTATCTATAATCTGAATAAGAATTTTGGATAATGTTGTTGAATGGTCGGGCTTGCCTAGCAGTGTGTTGGGCGCTATCATGACCGGGGTTGGGGTCGTGACATCTCTTCTCCAAAATTCCCAAATTAACTCAAGAAACGAATAAAAATGTCTAACCCACAAGATCATCCTGGTTCTCCTCCACCACAATTACCCTCAAATTCATCCTCATCTACTCTTCCTAGTGAATCCCCAAAACCTAGGTTTCGAAGGCAGAAAATGTTGGCTAAAAAAACTGTAGCATCTGGGGATCTGAGAAAGGTTTTAAATGAAAGGTTGAAAGCTAACCAAGTGAAAGAAAGCCCAGCTCCAAATTCTGGTTCCAGTTCTGAGTCTGAATCCTTTCAATCTGCGACTGAGGGGGAAGGACATAGGTCTTTTGACTCTGAGAAGACTCAAGAATTCCCTACTGAGGTAAGTACATCTATTGTTGAAAACTTTGAAACTAGGTTTGTTCTAGTAGGACCCATTAGGGATGTTAAGCTGGCTAAGACGAGTAGGAGTGTAGGTAAAAAGAAGTCTGAAAAAGGAAAAGAGAAAGAGGGTGCATGTAGTGAAGAGAGGGGAAATGGGAAGGGAGCAGTTCTTGCTATATGTGGGGTTGCACATGAGAGGTTAGAAGAGAGTGACATGAAGTCAGGGGGAAGTGGGTCTGGGGAGGCTGCTGAGGGGTTGTTTCATCTGAGCAAAAGTAGAGATGAACCCGTTCCATCTACTGAAGAGACCCTAGCTGATCTACTGAGAAAGATTGGGACAAGTTATGACCCAAAGAAACGCAAAGCTACAACACCAAAAGCCCCAAATGTTCCCAAGCCATCCAAGAAAAGAAAAACTTCATCCCCAAAACCTACTGCCTCTTCAATGCCTAAGGGAAGAGCCACAAGAAGCAGGGTAAAACAAAGTGAAGTTGACTTACAAAAGGCTCTAGAATAAAGAAAGAAAAAGAAAATGGAGAAGGGGAAGGGAAAGGTTGCAGAATCCTCTAAGGTTGTAGAGGAAGAGGAGATGGAACTGGTCCATCAAGAAAGGGGTACAACAGTGGAGGTTCCTACACCAAAACCTAAAAAGTCTAAGACTTCTTCCAAGAAGTCTTCTTCTATACCTGTGTCTACTAAACCCTCACTAGCCAAGAGGACAATATCTGCAGTGAAAGCTAAACAAGAAAAAGTTTTAGATGATGAAGAGTGGCGTGGAGAAGAAGAAGAAGAGGAATCTGAGAAGGAACGGGACAAGTTTGTCATTTTTGGCAGGAGAAAATTTTTGAAAGGTAGATTGTTGAAAGACCTGGTGGAACCAGGGATGATGAGGTTGGTTGACTCTTTAACTGCTCAAGGTTGGAAGGACATGGTCTTTTAGATGGATGGGAGACTAGCCAGAAATGAACTAATTGATTTCATGGCTAATGTTGATGTTAAGGATGGGGTTGTCAGTAGCTTGGTAAAGGGAGTCCCAGTGCAATTTGATGCTGGGAAACTGGGAGAATTTCTGGATATACCCTCTAAAGGGTTTGATGACTACATTAGGCAAAGGTGGCTATGCCTGGACTCCCTACCTACTGCTCTTGAGATCACCAAGAGGTTCTATGATTCAGAGGATGTGAATGAAGCCAGGGCTCTACAGAAAAGTGAGATGAGGGTTGAGCACAAGGTTGTGTTTGAGTTTGTCAACAAGTGCCTACTGCCCAGACAAAAGAGAAGATGTACTGCAAATTACATAGACTTAGTTCTTATGAAGTGCCTTGAGAGAGGAAAGCAGATCAACTGGCCTGCTCTCATTGTAAAATTGCTAGACAGGATCATCAATGGCTCCAAGGCTCATGCTACTCCATATGGCTTCATACTGACCACTATTCTGTACAGACTGAATGTGCCTTTGAAGAAATGGAAAATGGCATCAAGCAAGGAACATTTTGGCATTAAGACTCTTCTAGCTTGTGACTATCCAGCCAATGCCATCCCAGTTGTACCTAGTTTATCTCTGAAGATACCCATCAACAACAAGGTTAGGACTTTGGTTCAGGAATGTGAAACTAAGTATGCTAAAATTGCTAGGCTCAAGGCTTGTGTGACTGAATTGGAAACTGAGAGGGATGGCCTTAGAACTGAGCTAGCAAAAGAAAAGGAGAAGAGTGATGGAATCCTTCAAAATATGCTGAACCTTCTCCAGACTCAACCCTTTAGTTCCTCCAAGCCTTAGGTCTCCTAGCACTTGTCTTCTGAACCTGTCTAGTACCCCATGTGAACCCCAGTGACCCGAATTAGGGATTTTTCGGTTTTTGCTAATGTTTTAAAAGTTTTTCTTTCTTTTTGTGGACTGTTAATGGCAACATATCATGATCAATGACAACACCTATTTTCTCTTGTTCTATGATGATTCTGACCTTGATAGTTTAAATATGTTTGTTGATTATTGATAATTGCACCATGTTTTCACTTGCAGTTGCCCCAGTGGCCATGAGTACTTATTAAAATCTGGGATTCACATTAAGTATGCAACTTTTCGATGATGCCAAAAGGGGGAAGATATTGTGCTTTACCCATTATTCTGAATAAGTGATATTTATAACCTAATTAACCTGGTCCTTGATGAAAAGTAAATTTTTTAAGTCTAGTGTTGATAGTTAAGCTGAGTTCTTACATGTCTTTTAATCAGTAAAAAGCACAGAGTTTGTCATCATCAAAAAGGAGGAATTTGTTGGCCCAAGAACAGGTGAAGTTTTGAAGAATGACAAATGAACTCAGGCATGGACCAGGTCCATCATGTGAAGCACAATCATGATCAACCTATACATGTGAGATGCACGTGAAGGAGATAAGTCTCACTGATCAAGCAACAATATCTCCTGATCTGATCGAAAAGGTTGCATATTGGATAAGGGGAGAAAGTCTCCTTATGTGAAGAGAACACAATCCGGATAAAAGATAGTGTTGGAGTTTGTGTTGTTAAAGGACTCAACTTCGATGGAAGATCAGCAATTGAGTCTCAATCAAACTCTAATTACTAACTCATTAAATAACAGTGATTGTTCTCTTTTACAGGTGTTGCACATACGCAGAAGTTAAACTAAATTAAAAGCAAAAGAGCAAGACGATTTTGCAAGCAATTTATGTGAGATTTGAGTGTGCACTTCTGAAGCTACTTGAACGAGATAGAAGAACCAGTTCTACTGTGTTTTTTCTTATTCTAGTTCAAATGTAGTAGGTGGTTTAAAGTTGTACATTTCCAGCTTTCATAGAAGCAATTGTATTCGGTACTTTGAGAGTTCAAGTTATAGACTAACTTGAAGTTATCGCAACAGTTAGAGGTCGGTTGCTACAACAGGATTAGAGGTAATCCTTAGTTTTACAAAGAGTTTTGTAAATGCTGTTTTGGCTCAGTGATATAGTGAAGTGTTGGGGAAAATCCTACTGAGTAGTAGGTCGTGATTTTTTTACCTTTTGAGCCGAGTGTTTTTCACGTAAAAATCTCTGTGTCCTTTATTTTATGTACTTTTAATTCTGCAAATAGTAGTAGTTAGAACACTTAGAAGAACCTGGTTCTTCTAGATCGAAAATCGGGTACCACACAAATCACCTCGTTCTCTTGTGTGGTATTGACGCTTAAAACATCAGGGTCCGAATCACCTCAAACGACTTCCGTTTCTTACTAAATTTCACAGGCTCATCTTATTTCACATATAAGACCTGTACCGGGCTCTGAAACCAGAATACGGGCCTGATACCATCTAATTCTAAATGCATTTCATTTCCAAAACTCATAGAAATTTTCAGGAACAATTTTCTTTAAAAATTTATTTCTCGGGCTTGGGACCTCGGAATTCGATTCCGGGCATACGCCCAAGTCCCATATTTTTCCACGGACCCTTCGGAACTGTCAAATTATGGGTCCGGGTCCGTTTACCCAAAATGTTGACCGAAGTCAACTTAAATGCATTTTAAGTCAAAATTTCAATATTTTCACAGATTTTCACATAATAGCTTTCCGGCTACGCGCCCAGACTGCGCACGCGAATTGAGGTGATGCTGAAAATGGTTTTTAAGGCCACAAAATGCAGAATTCATTTTAAAAACAGGTGATGACCTTTTGGGTCATCACATTGCTGAAGTTCAGGCACCTATCTGATTTTTGGAATTCGTATCATTACTGATTAAAAAGGAAAATTCATTTGTGCCCCACCTCGCTTTAAATTATTAGAAAATATTATTCTGATCTTCATTTCCTTTATCTCGACAAAACAAGTCGTTTTACGACAATTCATATTGCTCATTCGTAGAAACTTATACTTTATTCTTTCATGTATCATTATTTATTCAAAACTTTATTTAAACAATAATGATATTATTTTATAGAATCATGTATAACATTACTTGACATACACGTGCAACGCACGTGCAGAGAAACTAGTTAGTTTTAAATGAGCATCCCTTGATTGTAGCCATTTAATTTAGTAAATCCCGAAAAACCCTTACAATTTCTTACTTACCCAAAAAAACCAAAAATCTTTCAAAAGGATTTTTCTCTTTCTCTATTTGAAATCAACCCTCTTTCTAGACCGATTCTACAAGGTTTTTTTTTCTTCTAAAGCTCATAATTTTCTCTAACAATGGCGAAGAACGGGATCAATTTTTTAGCAATTTAAATTTTGCCATGGCTGGAGTTTGGAGTTTTTCTGTGCTTCCCCTTTTTCTTCTTGGTGTTTCGATGGCAGGCTAGTCGTAGGTGTATATTAATTATTTGGCTGGATATTTCGAATTAAAATTTTCAATCAATAAATTTTGAAGGTGTTTGACTCTCCATCATGACAGCCATTAAAAAGTTTCAAGGCTTTAAATTCAAATTCAAATTTTAAAAAAATATTTTTTATTTGGATGGGGTGTTATTGGCAAATGATTGGGAATATTCTACAGAGTTTATATCTCGAATTTCAATTTGAAGGTATTTGTAAAGTTAGATTTGATTTGGCTGGATTTTTAGATTGAAATTCGAAGAAGAAGCAGAAGAACATACCACATACAAAATATATAAAATTATATAAAAAATACATAGAAAAAATATATTATATAAATTTTGTATCAAATTGTACTTAAGTTGTACGATATTGTAGTTTTATTTAACTAAGTAAGAATGATGTATGAAAGTTATATATAAGTTGTAAATAATTTGTATACCGTATAATTAGTTGTATGAAATTTATTTTTAGTATGTATGTTGTTATAGATATATCAAATTTTGTGTTAAATTTATATCAAATTTGTTTTTAATTTGTATGTTGTTGTATTATTCATTATTCTTTCTTAAAATAGGTAATTATGGCAAAGAGAGAGAAGAGTTGTGCTAATTATGGCTTAAAACAAATAACACACAACTAAAATGAGTCGTATTTAGATGAAAGAACAATTTGAACTTTGTTCTCTTCAATTACGCCTTTTTTCAAGCAAAGAATCCGCTAATTTAAGGCACAACTAATGGATTGTATATAAATTGTAAGAAAACTTTTCTTAGGGAGGTAATATACAAAACTTGGATAATTTTAGTAAATAAGTTTCAAATATTGTATAGGAAAGAAAAAAAAAACCTATAACATTACCAACTTGCTTGCCATTGCCTAGATCTGGTATGCTACATTAATATCAGCATAACAAGGAAAAACAACGTTGTATATCCGCTTCTAAAAATAATATTCAATAAAATATATATTTTTATATATATTAATATATAATAGACATATTTTATACATAATCAATGTATATTTCTTATATATTTGGCTAGTGGATATAAATATTTTTGGTCGACCAGCCAAACGTGTAACTATCACTACCATATACGGATTTCATAATCATTTCTAAATGTGAAAGCAACGCTCGAGTTCGAGCATGTGAATGATAAAAAATTTAATAGCGAGCGTTTTTCCTTTTAATGAGTTTTTGTTGCCA